ATGTCTCCATGAAATAGAAAAGATGCGTGTTACACATATTTCTGTCCCTGAAATAGACGTTTTCTAACTGACGAGATCATGCAAGAAAACGATTTCCCATGTGAAAGGGTATTACCTCCAGCTTACCGGCTCCAGCTGCTGGGATAGAGTAAGGAAGAGGGACGCGGCCCCGCTGCCTGCCAGCCGCGGAGCGCAGCCGGCTCGTTACAGCAGCGCGGCGGCACTTGTGTGACAAATGGCTTACGGGAGCTCGAACAAAGCGATGCTGCTCTGGAGAAGCATCGCCGTGAACAAAGTCATCTCTCTGACAGCTCCTGCTTTTCAGCGAAGCTGAAACAATACAGGACTCCCTGGGAAAACGCGAACAAAGGGAAAGCAGAAGGAATTGGAGAGAACCAGCCCAGCCATTGAATTCCGCGGCAGCAACGAAGTGACACCTTCCGAAAATTACCCGCACGCCTCCTTGCACCTTCCACCGAACAAAGGCAGCCCAACAGCGGCAGGGAACTACTCACTGGGGGGGTTTCTGGCCGTCCTCCCAGCACAGCCTCCTGCCCCTCGCCTGCTCGCCTCTTGCATCGCCGAGCGACAGAGAACAAGCAGCACAAAGCGGCAGGGACACTCCCGCACGGCCCCGCACAGCAGCAGGCGACCCCGCAAGGCGAGCGCTCCCGAGGTGCGGCCCGGGCAAAGCGCAGCCGCCGACGCCGGAGCGGCGAGGTCGGGATGCGGAGCCCCGAGGGAGACGCGGAGCCTCGGGGGGGGGGGATGCGGAGCCCCGTGCTGCGGCGAGGCTCCCTCCCGCTATGGGCACCGCAGCGGCCCTTGCGCGGGGGGGAAGGGGTGGGGCGGCAGGGTCCTTCCTACCTGTGCTCCCTCTCCCTGCTGCCAGAAGGGAAGAGCCGGTGGCTGCTGCGGGCGCCGGTGCCGCCGCCCAGCCCGTCGGATGCCGCCCCCGCGGCGGCCGCCCCATGGCAGCGCGGCCGCCGCCGCTCACAGGCGCCCCGCAGCGCCGCGCCCCTGCCGCTCCCGCATCCCTGCCCTCCAACTGGCAGCGTTCGGCTTCTCTTGTTGGGAAGGAAGGGGTAAGGCTGGATTTACCTGGATTCACCGAGACCCAGCACCGTTGCACTGCCCGAAGAGGAGAGTCGCTCCGGAGGAGAGGAGATCCACAGCTCCGGCTGCATCCCGGCTCTGAAACCCCATTTGTTCTCACAGCAAGACTGAAGTCTGAATCCAGTGTCTGGCTATTGCTATAGCTACACAAATACTTATCCCCTTCCTTTCCTAAAAAATAGGAGGAACTACAAGAAATAAAACAAAAATCAGCTGCTCCCCAACACAGCAGTAGAGAAAGCAGCCTCCCTTCTTTCTCATATCCTTAAATCCCGTATTTGTATCAGCTCTTCTGGGGCCCCACTCTTTCAATTCAGGTATCAACAGCAAGATTTTACCAGTGCAGGACACCTGTTTCCTGAGTTTCCCAAAGAGAACATGGTAAAAGCAGATGCTGCATTTAGTTCCATCCAGACTCTTCCACTTTTTGAACCAAAATGTGGATCATGTGATTCATGATCTTCCACTGCTGAGAAAGATGTATTTTGCCAACCACCTCTCCAGATTCAGATGCTCCCTGGAGAATAAGGCCTTACAGCTTTGGATTTTGCCTGTTTTTCAGGTTTTTTGCCCAATCAGAAGTGGTTCTTCTGGTATTCTTAAAAAGAACTAGGTCTTACATGAAAATGACACCCAGGCTGGGTTGGACCAAAGAGCTTCTTTTTGTCTCTGACTGTGCCCGGTAACAGATGTCCTAAAGGAAGAATATAACTTTAGGCAGGCATTTACTGATACTCTCCCCCTCCTTAGTGATTTGTAGCTCACTGAATTCCTGAGCCAAAGTGATACTTGTGAAAGAAACTAGTCTATGAGTCTGAAATAAGTATCAATTGCTAGGAATCACTTTTTCACCTGCAAGCTTCTAGAGACGACTAGTCATATAAGGCCTGGGAGGTGCAGTCCATTCCGTTTTCAGTCCCTTCACAACTAAAGCTATAGGATACAAGGCACAGATAACTCAGAATTTTAAGCTCGTGTACCAGCTCTAGTATTTTGGTGGTTAAGTATATTGAATGCTTTCTTTACATTAGCAAGAGCATATACATATATATATATACGTACATATATATTTAGATCCAAAATATATGGATACAAAGCACCTCAATTACCAGAGCTGAATTTGGTAACACTCCTCCAAAAGATTCAGGGGTTTTGCTGTGTTTTGCCTTGTTGCTATTGCAGCACTTACACATTTTTAAGAGGTAGAATTGGATGGTACAGAGAGAAAACTTCCTAAGTAGCCACCAGGAAAGAGGTGAATCCAGCCTTTGCCAGTTCCTTCAGATCAGTGAGATTGCTCAACTACATGAGACCTTTCTTGTCTGGAGCAGAAAATAAGTTCCCTTGAGAACTGACAATTTCTGTAAAGTAATGTAGTCACAAACCTCAGTGGCAAAGTGATAAATGGGCTTCAGGCACACGTAGCTTTATTAGCAATTTTTTTCACTCTGGGTTTATTAGATTTTATTACTGAAATATTAGAAATCTAGAATTTCTATGGAGAAACCCAAACCTTTCTAGGATGTGCCATGATTGCTTAAAAAGACCCAAGTCCACTAGGTGGCACAAAAACACCATGTAAAAGCCAGGAGCAAGCCAGGAGCAAGCCAGGGGTGCCTACCTCCCACTCAACATCTTTATGCATTTATCCAGAGCAAATGGGTACTGGTAAAGATTGCAGACACAGCTATAGTCCAGCAACCCACCCAACTCTTTTCAAATAAAAACAAGCTCAGATGTCAACATGTTCCTTTGGACTTAGAAGCTCAATGAACTCAAAGAACATCTCCCTCAAAAGCAGTATCTGCTCCTGCAGACCTTGACTGACTCACAGCTGACTAATCACACTGAAATTAATTTCTGTGGTTTTGTTCATGAAAATACAGCTGTCTCTGTTCAGGAGTACTAAAACTGAGAAGAAGCCACTGGCATTCTCATTTTTCCCACTTTCTTCCAATGGCTATTTTGCCATTTTAGTTTAACTCCTGCACCATCATCTTGAAATGGTAAAGGACACACCTCTGACAATGCTGGTGAGGCAGCTCTGCTTGGTTGATGTTGAGCTAGCAGCAGACACAGGTGGGATAGGCAACTACCGTAATAAAGTCCAAAACTCATTTGAGCTCTATTGTAGATAAATCTAAATATGGAGATAAAACAATGGTAAATATTTTTATACTTGTAATTTTTCAAAAGTCAGACATCATAATATAGATAATAAGAATCAACGTCACCACAGTCGGATAAGTACGTACCTGATCACATTGCTGTGTGGAACTGTAGGAAAGTTTCCCGCAGTCGCAGAATTGTTGCCCCTCTGAAGACTGCCTAGTCCAACCCTTGCTCAAAGAAGGGTCATCTGCAGCAGGCTGTCCAGGACTGCCCCTCAGTGGGTTTTGAATACCTCTGTGGATGGAGACTCCACAACCACTCTGGGCAGCGTGTTGCACTGTTTGACCACCCTCACGGGACAAAAATATTTCGTATGCTTAAATGGAATTCTCTGTATTTCGATTTGTGCCCATTGTCTTGTAATTCCCCTGAGTACAACTGAGAAGAGACTGTCTCAGTCTTTTTACTCCCAGCCACTTTTCATTCCCACTCCTACCCATAGTTATTTATGTATATGGAGATGTTCCCTCCCTCAATATTTCTTTTCTCAAGGCTGAGTAACCCCAGCTTGCTCAGACCCTTCTCTTGTGAGAGATGCTCCAATCCCTTATCATCTTTGGGGTTCTTTGCTGGACTTGCCAAGAATGTCCATGTCCATGTTGTATTGGGAGCTTTATGGAAGACATCGTGTGTTGGGGTTACCTTGGCCACGCCATGTCTGCAGTCCATATGCTGGAATGGGCTGCCACTGTGCAGGGAATCTGCCAGAGTGCCCCATGCTGGTTCTGCTGTGTGTTGGTGGTGTTGTGGCAGAGGTAACATTGCAGCCTGACAGAAAACATATGAGTTCTTTGCCTTTGTGGCTGAAACACTGCATTAATACACCAGCCACTGATAATACTCCAGTGTTTCAGCTATTGCTGATCAGTGCTTGGATCAGGTATTTCTGAACAGGTGTTCTAAGTTGGCTTTAAGTAATAAAATTTAATATATATGACACAATATTTCCAGTTAACACAATATTCTTCATAATTTCTAAGTGTAACAATCTTAGTGCAAAATGGACAAAATCTAAGAGCAAAAAAAGGATTTTTTTCCATGTTATTTAATATGTGGCTTACACTTCAGAGATGCTTGTAATGTTAGCTGGTAACCACATTTTTATTGAACATGAGGCAAGCAGAACACTACCTGTTGGACAGTACAAGGATGTGCAGCAATGCATCCTCCCATTTCTAGTCCTCTCTATAAGTCCTATGAATACACAACATGTCAAGCTGATGGTGTGTAATTATTAGAAAACTGCATGTTCTCAAATAGAAGGATACAATATACAATTATTTGCATAGATGGACGTTAAGAATATATCCTAAGATTGTGATCACTAATCGCATCTTACTTCAAAGCCCAAGTTTGAAATGCTCCCCTGCTAAATACACCAGATATTTTAAAGATTAGTTCTCACTTCATTTACCTAATATGTATGTCACAACATAAAGTCCTGTGTCACCTCTCCAACAGCTTGAGCTTAACTGTGCAAAGGATTCCAGGTGTCGCTCTGAACTTTTAAAACTACCATTTGAAAAATATCTCCAGATATGATTCAAAAGTTTGAATATAAAATACTTCAGAATTTTATAATATTTAAAGTATTTCAATATGTCTTTAAAATGTAATTTTTCTCTTCACTTTTTACTTAATATGGGGATATTTAAAATGCAATTTCACAGAAAGATGAAACAAAAGGAGACAAATTAGTTGACAAAAAGTAATAAAGGCTGATATATACTTTTTATTAAGAAAAGGTAAACAAAATACATTCACAAAATAGATAATCAATACTTTTAAATACCATGAAGTATGATCTGTAAACAGAAAACACTTGTTAGAAGCTTAAATATAGGAATTCATCACGGGTATAAAACATACACTGGCTCAGCACTTGTAAGACAATTGTGGATGTTATTCTGTTAGCTCATATTAAGATGAATGAAGTTCTGCAATCACATGAGATAAGCAAACAAATAAAACAGTAAAATAAAAACAAGAGATTGTCAAATCAAGTACTCATTTCCTTCTTATAATTATTACGTTTCCAAAGTTGTAACAAAACTTAGTTAGGCTTGATACAAAACCTGTCAAACAGCCAGCAAAAAACACCCCTGCCAGTTGGGAAAGCAGAATTTTGCAAAGTTGATTATTTCACCCTTTCTCAGAGATTTCAAAGGTAATCAGTGATTTGAAGAAAACAGAGGTAGAATACAAGATAGTCTTCATAATTAAAAAAAAAAGTCTTTATAACAAGGTAATGCTTCAGTTGCTTAAGTACTGGTTATTCCTTGAAGCTCACATTTCTGGTGGAGAAAGAAAAAATGTCAAAATAAAGTTAACTACTTTATTTTACTAATTAATATTGGGATAAATTGTAACAATTAGCTTCAGCCTCCTCATATTCTCTTCTGTTATTCCTAAATATCAACTATTAGCATATTATCTAAACCTCTGCATTCAGTTCATTGACTCATTTCTCAAAGTAGAAGGGAGACAAGGAGGAAGAGAAAATTTCTTGAGAAGATGAAATCAGATTAGAGAAAGAGACAGTTGTAACACAACAGAACAGTAGTTACAAAATACACTTTACTGTGGTAAGCTCCCAAGAAGAAATAAATAAGCAGGATGAAAGATGGTGACAGTACTGCTGAGATCATTCTACCGTAATGACCCACTGATAGGTTTAAAAGGTAAAACATACATAACAACTGCATGTGAATTCAGTTGTTAAAAACCACTTTCTTTAAATATATATACTTAATGAAAATGGGATATTTTCTGATAAGATATGGTACAGAGCTGTCATTGTTAAGGTTAAGAATGCAAATATTAGGACAAAAATAGTGCACTACATTGTATTCTTCAAGTACAGCAACTGGACGTTTTATTGCTCTCAGGACTCACTATAACACAAGGAAGACTACAGACAACTCTTTACTGATGATACTCTTTCTCAAAAATATATTATCTGTCATCATCTCAGTCAAAATGTTGATTTGCAACATTACAGGGTGCACCTAATGGCTCACCAGTAAACCAAGAGTCGTAACGGCTGTTTCATCCCCACTGACAACATCACTTTTGCTAGTTTCCGTTTTTTGCTTTGCCCAAAAACTCACAGAAGAGAAAAAATGCTGACAATGTGGGTTTATGCCATGTTGACCTCAGTTCTCAAGAAACCTGTGTTTTTGTTAACAAAAGTAAGCTTATGAACAAGCCATATGTATTTACCAACAAAAATAAACTTCAAAATCTGTCAGATTCATGAGCTGTTACAGCACACGTATTTCCTACAACAATCACTGTTTACCTCTCCCTGTCCTTCCTCTCTTCACTGCAATTTATTATGCAATATAGGACAGGCAGGATATAACGCCAGTAACCAGGTCTGTAACATAAAACTGACAAAATCTAAAACAACGATCTCTAAAAGAACAAAAATGTCAGTGAAAATGAACAGGTGAGAGGCTGATTTTGATTTCCTTTTTATGGACTCTAGTAATCACGATCTTAGACATTCATAGATTCAAGCACTAACAATGCATTCACTGTTTTTATGCACTTGTTTTGGAAATAGTTTCATCTAATGCATAATGTTCAAATGCATTTCAGTTGGACTCTCTTTTGTGGAGTGTTTGTCCCTCATTGCTGTACTTGAGAGAATTTCACAGCTTTTCTCTCAATACGAACCATTTATTGTTTGGAGATAACTGTTAACAATAATAAACTGGCAAAATATATTTGGATATAAGTAATGGCAATAATAAGCAGGCAACACAAGCAGCTGTCAGCTTATGCAAGACCATTAACAAGAACAGGAATGAGAATCCATTTATTATATGGTCTTTGGAGAGTACTTTGCATCTACTGTTTTCAATCAACTTTTTATAGTAGGAGAGACAGCAAAAGCAGAACTTAGAAACACTTGAAGTATGTAACAATTTCAAAGAATTAGAATGGTTTTATTTAGAAACAATTTAAACTTCACTCTTAAACTGAACCAATCTGCTAAAATCAAATCACTTACTTCTCAGCTGATGCCTGGTCAGTTGTCCTTACAACGCTCCGTTCAGGAGAACGTGAGGGAGACCTGAATGTTGAACTGAGAGGAGGCGAAGCGCGTAATGATGATGTAGAGAGACCATGTCGGCGCATTTCCTGAATTGCACGTTCTCTGCCAACAAACAGCAATTTTAGTTACACAGCACTTAGCACAATGTTAAAAGCAAGAAAAACGTAACTTTTCTCTGTATTTTTACTCGGTGATTTTTTGCAATACTTTAAAATAAGTTTTGTTTTCTTGTAAAGTTACTCAATTTTATTCTTGTTTTCATGAGAAGGAATTGTTTTACTTTTAAAGGCAGTGGTTAACATAAAATTTACAAGAAAATTCAGAAACTGTATAAGATTTTTATTTTTTAATTAAGCAGTTTTCAAGATGAGCATATTATATTTTGCACAGTAAGAGGAATAGAGTCTTCCATAAAAGTTTCACACTATTGAAAAAAAGCAAGCTCCAAAAGTGAGAAAGAAGAAATGAGAAAAGTCAACTCACTGAAAAAGCAGCATCTTACCGTTCAAATCGCTCAGTTGTCAGTTGTCTTTTTAAAACATCACAGTCAGTCTGCAGCTGTGCAGCTTTACTTCGAAGTATGGAAACCTCTCTATTATGGCTGCTTCTAAAAAAAAAAAAAATCACGAGAAGCAACAAAGTTTTCTTTGAACACCATCAGCTAGGAGCTTAGATAATTTAGAGCAAGATAAAACAAAACTAGATTCACACAGACGAAATCAAAGACAAATTAGAAGCAAGAAAGCAAGAACCAAGTGAATGTAACACAACGTTTCATGAAGAAGTAAGGTGAGAATGAAGTGAGAAGCTCTCACTACACCCTAACTACATTGTGTTCTTTTTCAGACAAAGGTAAACACAGACATGTTTTATAAAAACAGACAAAACAATTAAAACATTAATTTATTGATTCACTACCCTCTTTTGCATGTGAGATGATCTTTATGTGTACATTTAAAAAAAAAAAGAAGAAAAAAGCAGTAAGTATCCACATAAAATACAAATGTAACAGTAAAAATTATATCAGGTAGCCTGGAACTATGGCTAGCAATGAAAACTACTGAATCAAATCTACATAAAAAATATATTAATGCAAATACCAGACCAGCACAACCCAGAGTCTCATGGCTTGTCAACTATAACCTTGGTATTTGGGCCCAACTGTTTCAACTGCAAGAATCAAAATGAAAAGCAACCTTGAAAATCTTAACGAACATAATTAAGCATACTTCTTAGTAAATCATCAGCTTGACCAACCCAATGCTTGGTTGCAAAATACTATTAATTCTTTATAAAGGAAGAAAAAAAATCATTGAGTGTAAAATAAGTTGTCTAAATGAGAACCGAGACAGCTGTGTTATTCCATACAGTCTTCAAAGCCAGTATGAGGCGGAGTGCTCAAAAGTCACTTCTGGAGAAGTAAAGTTGCACTAGTTTATTGCTAAAGCACTGGACTGGAATTCTGAAAAACAATTTCCACTCCTAGGTCAGTCACAAACTTCCTTTCTGGCACCCGCTGGTCTTTGACTCCAGGAAGATGCAAACTACTCAAGAGATTTGTTCCAAAAAGAACCGCAGAATATTTTTTCCCATGTTCCCTATTCATCAGTAAAATTCCTAGAATGGTATCTTGATCCAGTATGTTGAGAACAGATGCAGAAGACAAGAGATCTCGATGATATCTTATTCTAAGTCCTTCAGAGACAGGCATATGCTTTCAGGATGGAGGTAAGAATTCGGGGCCCAGTATCATTATTGTAAAATAAGAAAAGAAAGCGAACACTTTGTGAGTTCTCAGGTTATTCCATGTCAATGACAATTAAAATTAAGAGCATGAAGTAAATAACTCAAAATTTAGAAATATTTTAATTTGAAACCCTTATGCACAGTAATCATCATTTAAGTTTACATGATTATACACAATTTTCACAGGAAATCTGTCTCTTTCCCAGCTACAGATAGCTCTCAGTAAGTAGTGTAGCAATTTCATATTCTTTATTTAATACTTTATTCACCCTAGAGCCTCAAGATCTCATTCACTGTACTATCACCCAAATAGCACTCCAAGTAATGCAACTACTCACTCTACAGAGCTCATAATTACAGCACTGGAGAATTTCACAAGTTAAATTTAATTCTGAGAATCCTGAAGTCAGAGGTTGTGGCCAAGCCAAATGAATTTTTGTATTTTACAATTTTTCTATTAGACACAACCTAATTGTCACATACTTCAGTCACAGCTGTGAGCATTTAAACTTCCTGTTCTTTAGAGTGCAACTACTACAAACCAAATAGTAGAAAGCAAGGTATATACAACTAGTTGTCACATGTGAACATTTGCCTAGCAACATGCAGAACCTTTGAGATAAACAGAGGAAAACAATTCAACAGAATAGCCGCTCTTCCACCAAGACAACGTTTTCCTTCTTCCTGCAGTATCACATACTATTAACAATGCAAGTACTGACATTTACAACAAACAAGAAATGAACCCTACAATATGTGCAGAAGAAAAATAGTGAAAAAATTACTATGTTTGTTGAATAGAATTTTATAATGTTTGCACACAAAGTAGCTGAATTTAATTTAAGTTAAAACCTCCTTCTTTCCTTTTTTTTGGGGTTTCTGTTGGTTCGTGTTTTTATTAACTTTCACATTTAACTTCATAATCAGGACATTGCATTAGCTTATGTTCATTGTATGCAACTAACATTTTTCCCCCAAAGTAAACCAAAATCAGCAATACTAAAACAGGAAGCAATTAGTTACACAAGGGTGATTAATACCATTGTCATCTACAGATCCATAGAGACTGCTGCTACTTGAGGTGGACCATCATCAGCTCTAAGCTGTAGCCTCTATGTAAATAAATCAAAAGCATTTTTCTTGCACATCTGTGTCACCAAATCACAGACAGCTTTTACCTGTTTAAGGTTGCTATATTCTATATCTCATAAGGAGCATTATCTGTCCTATTACCTTCCATACATTTTCTTTCTCTCCCTACCTTAGTGTTTACTAAGTGGGTGTATCTGTTTTCCTTTGTCTGAAATTCTACTTGGACTTTACTCTTCACTACCATCTCCATTCAGCTGCTACTCCTCCTTTTTGCTCTTTAATGCAGAACTATCACTACAGGCACTGGCTAGTGTATCCCTTGGAGAATTATCATGTCATGATACTTGGCAGTTTTACTTAAATAGTTTGACTTGGTGATCTTAAGAGTCTTTCCCAACCTAAACGATTCTAAGATGACACATGTCATGGACACTTCAAATTCCCTGCTTCATAACATGAAGAAAAATTTTTAACCCCTCTGCTTCTCTTGTACATGAATTTCACATATACAAAATATCCCCCCCTTAACTTCATTGCTCCAAACACATTAGTCTTTCTTCTACAAGTGTGTTTAAAACTTATTTCTTCTGCAGGCAGATGCACAGCATAAGAAATTGCTCGCCACATATAGTGTAGGTGTCAGGTTCAGTTCCGTTTAAAGTTCAAAGGAACAATAACTTGATAAGGACTTTTTCCTTAACAGTTAATATCAACCGCAGCAGAAGTACTTTTGCTTTTTTTAAGCACTATGACTTCACTATTTATTACGTGATTCTTACTTTAATCAAAGTAAGGATAACAGGCATCTTCAGTAGATAAGCAGTTCACATTTACCATGGATTTAATATACTTTGTAATTTTTTTGTGAGCTGTAAACATATGTTAAAATTTTATTTGGAGAATGTTTCCTTTGGAACTCCTGTTTAAGTTTACTGCTTGCACTAAAGAGATGTCCACCAAAGTGCTGATTAATGAAAGCAGTATGAAAGATATGTAAAGAAACTAAGTAAATGATGACATGAAAGGCCAAAAGACATTGCTGCAAAAATCTGCTCAGCCATACCGAATATCCAGATTTTGTGAATAAGTATTGTCACACAGAAAAAGTTTTTTTGTAAACCACATAACACACATACACTTGTTAAAACTTACAGTTTGCTCTCAGCAAGTGTTAGCTTGTCTTTCAGTAATTGAATTTCGGTATCTTTCTCTTGGGATGTTAATTGGTTCTGAAATTCTTTGTCTCTACTAGTAGCCAGTAACGTTTCAAGATTCTGAACTGTAAGTCTCTCACTGGATAACTGCTTTTTCAGCAACTCTACTTCTGATTTTATATCTTCTAATTCTCCTAGAACCTAAGGCACAAATTTTATACATTATTAATACACCAGTTTACAAACACAGACAATTCTATTTTGTGAAGAGTTGCTATAAAAACTGAAATGATTGTCTGATAAAAAAGAACAGGAAACTGAGCTCACAAAACTAGTTAAAGCTACAATTATTCTAAACTATACTTAGTTTAAAACTATTCAAGCTGTACACCTATCAAATGTTTTACTGTGAGCTGGATTACATAGTGCTAGAAATGTTAGGTAAGTACCAGGAACACTAATTGGCTTTTAACAGCAGTAGACTTTTGCCCCAGTTCAAAAAGAGTATTTACTATACTTCATTCTATTTGACTAGCTCAGCTCACAATTAGCTTCTTGGCTTTTGCTTAAAATGTAGGAATACTTGTTTTCCTCACCAGTTTTATGAATATAAACAAATTCTACTGTTCTTGAGGTCTTGAATATTACAGTACCAGAAAGTCTGACCAAGTCACTAAATAAAGACAAAATCAGCTGTAAAGAAAAAGGTTCCAAAAATATGAATATTCAGAACTGTTTAAATTATTTCAAAATATTTAATGAATTTCAGCTGTATCTAAATTTCAATTTAACTGGAAAAAGCAATTAGGAAAAGGTCTTTAATATCTAAATAAGAAGTGCACTATTCGCATTTGGTAAGTTGAAAATTTGAGTAAATTAAAAAATAAAAAAAAAAAACATAATTTGTCTCTGGTATCGCAAAAACTACAGCTGCAACATTTTGCAGTGATAATGAATGAAAGAAACTCCATCTTTCTGTACAAAACCCACAGATACAGATCTATATACTGTAAAATTTATAATTTATATAAAAATGGGAAACTAGTGATGTAAATTAACTTGGTTTGCTCTCAGAAGTGATTCTTTTCTCCAAAAACCATTAAAAGCAAAGGAAGTTATTTTATTATACCAAATTAAATTTTCTGCTTACCCTTTCATAATCCATGCTTTTGGATGTCAACTGTCGAGATAAAAGATCTTTGCCAGACTCAAGTTTCACGCAGAGTTCCCTCACAGAAGTCAGGTCTGCTAACACAGCAGCCTTATCCTGATTTTCATGTTTAAGGTCCTCTTCCAATTTGGACATGTTTTTTGTAATGGAGGAGATCTGAGATTCATATACTTGATGTGCAACAATATGCTAAACAAAGACAAATATGGATACACCTTCAGTGTTAAATTTAACAGTTTTCTGTTGAATAACTTGGGCTTTCTTAATACTTTAGTTTCTCTTTAAAATTAACTTTCCCTATAAAACTAACTTGATATTACACTCCTTCCCTTTCCCTAAATTACAGCTGAGGACAACTAATAAACCATTGCTGCAATTTTTATCACCATCTTGAAGAATTATACAAGTACTATAAAAGAGTGGAATGAGGCTGTATTCCAGCTTCAGAGAATTAAAAAGCTTAAAACCCCAAAAATACAGCCTATTGTTTACTCAGCTTACAATACAGTCTCTAACACTTTTTGGCATGAGACAAAATGTAGCCAATACACAACAATTATACTCTAGAACTTCACTGACCTCCATGAAGTTATTGCTTCTAAAATATAAACCTCATTATGTTCTATGATATTGGTCTAGGTTTCAGTATTATGGAATCCTGATTCTGGATTTGGACTATGTCTACCAGATTTTTACCTTGACTCCAGCCACCAATGCTTCAAATACCTCATTCAAAGCTTCAAAGAAACGAAAGATCTAAGCTTAGAAAGTACTCATAAAGCTATGTGCAAACATTTTGAAGCAATATACAAAAGTTTCTTACAGAGAAAGTATCATAATAGCAATAATAACCCAACAGAAGAGTTCCAAAACTATCAAAACATATGCCATTAATCTAATTTTGGGAAAGCAGGGAGAAGGAAAGCACGTCTAAACAAAACCAGTTACTATTTCAAAAATTCAAGTGTCCATATTTGAAACACTCACATATAGAAATTCTTTTCTATTAAAATGTTAAAAATACCACACTGACTTTATTGAAAAACACCTGAATGTATCTCACTTTCCTTGAGAGAATTTCATTGCACAAGTTATTACCCCTTGAATCTCTTTTTCCAGAAGTTCTACTCTCTCCCGAAGATGTCTCCGATCTGTGTCTACTGAAAGGAGTTCAAGTCGTATTGAGCTGCTTTCTCCTTCAGCTTGATGAGCCTTCATTTCCCAGTCTTCAGCTTGCGTATGGAGCATTTGGAATTTCACTAACAATTCTTGGTTCTCTTGTTCCTAATAAAACAGTAAATCACTCTGCAATGATCAACATACCTTCAAGTTGATTGATCTTATTTCATGCCTACTCCCTGCAATGTATGTTTGGTTTTTTGTTTTGTTTTGTTTTTTTCAGAAAAAGTAGATCTTTCTTCATTTTCTTCATCCTGCTATCTGGCAACTACTAAAGGGCATCATCCCTTTTGCAAGTCCAGATAGCAAATAAATACAGTGATGGCATCCAGTTTTATTAAAATGGAAGTACTTACATTTACAAGTTGTTAATGAGTATCAAGGCTCCCAGGAGAGGGGCTATTTTAGATCTCTCTGCATTGTCAAGGGTCACATTACTGAGATATACTGAGTGCTGCCCTTTCCAAGAAATTCCAGCAGAACTCCGTTTTCAGCTCTTTTACTTACTGTGCTCTTACACATATTTGTATTACAGCAGTGCCTGAAACACTGATAATCTATTTGAGCAGTCTATCACACAAGTACAAAACTGCAAGCTTTACCATTTGTGCAGTGAGAACAAATGTTGCTTGCGAATTTTAATTTGGCCAAACTGCAAGTGTATATTATAAAGCAGTGATTAATTTTTCTTATTTACCTACATTCCCTTCTTCCCTGCTCACATAATGTGCAGCAGGATATGCATGTTGCTAGTATGAGTCAGATTTACCTCATGAGGAAGGCTACTGTTTTTGAAATTCCTTCATATTCTGCAGAACTTGGAAGGTACAGACAGGATCAGGCAGAGTATTAGGAAATAGAAACTCATGATTAAGCAAGTGAACCCTGTGCAGAAAAGTAAATCCTTGTCTCCCTAGGCATTATCCAGATGTAATACTAGACAAAACTCTGAAATCAAACTATTCGTAACTGGTCATTGTCTGTATATTCTACAGCTTCCTGGTACACACCCTGAAAAACTGGATTCTATTTTGCCAAAGATGTGGCCAATCTGTAGCTGAAGTACTTTGGACATATGATATATTGTAAGATTCTTAAAAACTAAGCTTCAAGTGTTTTAAATTGATAGTTCTAAGCTAACATACTACTGACCTTAATTTTTTTCCCTAAGCTTCAAGTTTCTACTTGTAAAGAGTGGTTGAATTTACATGCATTCATAAAGTTGAAATTAGATCAAAACTCATTCCTCCCATTTCAAAGTCACATAATAAATTTGCCAGTTCATGTCATCTTCACACCATTTCTATTTGTTTTAAATGTTTATAAGTTTTAATTCACATACATCACACTTTTGAATCCAAGTATCAGGATAAAATACACTTACCAAGAGCATAGTTTTGGCAGCACTATTTTTATACTTTCACGCAGAACTAAATAAAAACTTTTCTTTTCAAAAAGGGTAAAACATTTAAAACCATTATATAAGCTGATTGTTGCCTACAATCATGAAACAGTACCAGATATTTTACTAGTTGCCTTGTCAAAACTCAAAAAACAAAACAACATTCAAATATGTTTGTTAGTCTCCAGCACTGTGGCCAACTGGAACGTGATGAATGAAATTGTCATGTGCTAGAATAATCAGTGCTTCAGATCTACCAAGGTTTTATATTTTACTATCCCCACAAGTAACTTGAAACACTGCAGAGAAAAGAAGGAAAAACAAAAGAAGGAAATGGGACAGGCAGGGATGATGGGACCCAAGCCACACAATTCTTACTGAAAACAGTAATGACTGCCTACAGGTTATATTTTTACCTTCGAAGCCATCAAGGTCTCAAATCTGGAAACTTCAGTTATATAATTATGAACCCTGGTTTTCATTTCTTCTTTTTCACGTATTGCATCTTCAAGCTCAGTACTGATAGCCTAAAGAGGTAACATAAAGGCAAAATTGTGCAGTATGGTAAATTAATCACTATATAATACTCTATCAGATTAAATCAAAGTAATTGCCTATGCCCTAGATTTTTTTTCTATTCTACCTACAAAAGCCTTTGGGATTTGTATAGTTCAGAAATATCCCCTATCACCTTAGATACACCAAAGGGTTTCCAGGCAAGAATAATCAGAGAAAACAATCACACCAGCTCATAAAATATGCAGCTTCCCTGATGACACACCATACTGATCTTTGGAAAATTCAACATACTGATGTTTGGAAGCTGGAATTTTTATAGCCATAAGATTCACTATCCCTGAGTGAAGGCAAGTTTTAGGTCACTAGAAAATCAATTTTATAACAAAAGAACATTTACACAGATAATAAACCACCATTTTTATCAATTAAATACCAACTACCAAGTGATATAACCAGTTAACATAATTTCATTATATTAAAAACAATTATGTCCTAGATTTATTTTATTTAAAACTTTATTTACATTTCTTTTTTAATCTGGGGGGGATAACTAAACTGAAAGCTTGTCTATTTCTCCCCCACTGTATTGACTACACTTATGTATCTGAAGTAATTGCTTTTACAATTTCAATATCCCAGTGTTAAGAAATACCAATAATTAAACATACCAATCAAGACTGGGGATATAGCAGTTTTGATGCAACACTATATATAAGCAAGCAATAAGTGGTTTAACACACTAGTATTATGTACTGTACCTGGTTTTCTCTGGCCATTGTAGCTAGGTCATCTTGCAGTCGTCTGTTTTCTTTCAGAGCCATTTCCTTTACTCTTCCCATTTCTGCAAGCTCTACTTGGGACGTATCAAGCTGGCGTTGTAAGCTCGATATCTCACGGTCTCTGTTGCTCAGCATGTCCTTCATCTGGCTATCAAGTGAAAATATTATTTAAGTTGTTCCTTCTTGTACTAAACCACATAGAGCTGAAAATGATCAGACATGGATATGCAAAGGCATTCTTGCTTACTGAAGGCTGATAAACTGAGTTGAAATATAAACGTAAGTCAAGTATGTAAAAGTCAATATGCAGAAATAAAGTGGAAATAATTTTCAATTTTGAAGATTTATTTGGTAAGATGAAACTTATTATGCAAACAGCAATTAAAGATACTTATGTTTATCTGTGTTTGCTAGTGGTTACAGTGTGTTACCCACTGTATATGTTATAAACCATAGGAGGAAGAAGATAGCTTACACTTGAAAGACAACAATCAAAAGAGTAAGGAAGAGACTAAACAAAAAAGTAGACATAAAAATATGTGTGAATTTAAGTAAAATTTTTCATTAGTTTTTTGTCACAAATATTTCTTGTATCAATGCAGCAAATATTCAGTTACATTGGTCTTCAAAAGTTTAAATATTGGTGTTTAAATATTTTCTCTTAAAAAGCTATAGTTTTCAAAGTCATGCTTAAAAAGAGGCAAGAATGAATGATTAGATGAAGCCCAGCTAAAAACCACATAAATATATTTTAATTAAGACTGTACTAGTAGCTTATGCTAGGACTAGATTGCCAATAATTAAGAATTTAGCTGTGAATTTTACCTGGGTCAATCTAATAATATCTAGTGGAATACTAACAAGCTACTTTTTGACTGATAATTAATAAATATTAGCAATTTAGGGAAATAAATATAGACCAACAACTGTTAATGGTTGTCTTAACAGTGTCCTAGCAGCCTGCAATATAATTGCAGAGGAGGTCTCTTCAAAAGTTGTGTACGTCTTTCTCAACACAGTACACTCCTTAACTTGACTTAAATGGAAGTAATTCAGTTTCATCAAAATAACTAAAATAGCCATATACTTTCACTTTAAAACCACTAGGTAAAATAAAATCTCTGAAGAAGGCATCCTAGTCTTTACTTACTCTGTTGAGGACTCCAGCTCAGAGAGAGTGAGGCGTAAATGAGTAATTGTTTTTTCCTACAAAAATAAAAACAAAAGTTCTACTAGATATCATTATATTGCAACATAGTAGATACTTCAATTTAAACAACTTTTCATTCAAACCTTTATTATAACTCTTTGTCAATAAGTAATTGCATCTTTGCACATTCAAATTTCCAAGCTTCTTTTCTTTACTGAGAAAGGATTGTCTTGTCATCAAAAAAGATGGAAGCTACAGATTTTGTCACCTCAGGCTAGAACCTTGTATCTCAATAAATACCTCCACGTGCAAAATGCAAAAAAATACTTCTTTGTATTCTTGGTGTGTTTAGGGAATACAGTAACATTCATAATGAAAGTGCTATTGAGTTGGCAAATGACTCTTTGCATTGGCTAGGTCCAAACATAGTGTCCATGTGATGCCTAGTGCTCTGCACAGGCTTTGTCATGAAGGAAGAATGTCTCCTTAAAAATTAACTGCTTTAAAAATCCCCAAATGGACTGCAAAGTAGTACTTTTACTGCACATACCTTGTTAGCTAAGTTGTCATCTAAGCATGCAATTCTTTCTGTTTTTTCATCCACGGTTTCTTGAAGACTGTCCTTTTCTTTATCCAAAACAGTAATAGTACTTCTAAGCACATTGACTGCTTCATCCTGTGAAGTGCTCCTCTGGTTTAACCTATCTATAAATAAAAGAATAAGTGTTTTCTATTTTAAAAACAGAAAATAAGCATAAAAATAACTACTGATTACCTATTTTCTCCTTTAGCATTACAATTTCTTCCTGAGCTGACTGCAGATCATCCTTTCTGAGGGACAAGCGGTGCTGTAAATCTTCAACAGACCTCTGGAGCTGGTCATTTAAGAGCCTGGAAAATCAGTGTACAGTTGAAAGAAGTTTGGGACCTATTCAAGGTCTTCAATTTATGGCTCTTAAGCTGCTTGAAGTGTTGGCACAGTTCCAGCATAACCTCCTGACAGGGTTGTATCATACCAACCTGCAGCATGGGGTTGTGTCATATAACCAGCCCTCTCCCTTGAGAGGAGGACTTAAGGATTTCTGAAGCCAACACCACTTGTTTGCTCTAGAGCCCTGCTGCAAGTCCACCTCAACACCATTACAAAATGGAGCTATGGAACCTCAGTGGGACCACCACGATAACCTGAAACACTCACTTCCTCTGATTTCTGTTACTCTTGATCATGTGCCTCTTTACTTGTGTCTTTCGACTGTTGCTTTATAAAGATTTTGATATGTAGCTCATAGCAGTGATTATCAGTGACACAACATTTTAAAAAGCAACCAAATTGACAGCTATAGTTTTGATTCTACTTTTAAGAAATACAAAGCCTGAAAGATACATGAAATCATCTACCTACATAGTTGTTTTTCTTGGAAGGAAATATCAGAGTGACTTAGGGAAAAAAAAAAAGCAAAACGAAACTCGAAAGTAATTAAATGGATTCTTTACGAAACAAGTCGGGAAATAAAAATCCCTCCCAACTGGAATCCCACAAAAGCTACAGAAGCTTTTCATTATTAAGAAAAGCCCACCAATCCAGAATGTAGCATGTTTGCAGATAAAGATTGCTCTCACTGAGTTCAGAGTGAAACTTTAGAGAGGAAAAAAAAAAAAGCAGGGGGAGGAGGAAAAACACAGTTCTAACAAATTGCCACCATGCACAAAGTAGAACCAAACGCTGAAATGACTGTAGCCCTTCTATCCTTCTTTTCATAATATCAATGCTTCCACTGAAATTATAAGGAACCTTATAAGATATTTCATTTTTATTAATGTTGTCACAATTTTACCAACAAATATACTAATTGTTTTACCAAGAGCCCTCTTTGTGCAATTGGGAGCATTAAATGAACTTCAAGTCCTGCTTCTCAGCTTCGGTTCTTCACAGTTATTCCCCCACTATTGCACATTGCAGCATACTACTGTTCAGGTGGGGAAGGGAAAATAAGACACAGACCCTGTTTTCCCTTGTAAAACATTCAAAAGATGTCATCTACAGCATTATCTATCCTGTAGTGATCTCTTACATCAAAGCCTCTCACTTCTACCTGTATTTTCAAATTTCTGCCCAGAGTTTCAATACTCTGTTTGTACTTTCTCTAAGCCTTTTCCTTGTTCTATGACATTTAGACAGCTGATGGGAGTTCTTTTCTAAAACAACTTTAAAAGAGCACAGCAATGATCCTGCACGTTTAAACAGACCTTAAAAATACATAGGTACACTTGATCCTCCAGTTCTGAGCAAGTTGGTTAAATCCCCACAGACTGTGTCTATGGATCACAAGATGTCAGCTCTCAAAACTGTGGTATGCCCGTGATAGCATTAGCATATGAAAGAGAGCAATACAAGAAAAACAGCTCATGTAAAATGCCATTACAGAATGATGGTCCATGAACCACTCAGTTGTGGAATATCAATGCCTGCTGCCTGGCATAAAATTTTCACTATTACTGACAACTTTGTAAAACTGGCACAATCTGGCTCTACTGCTGCAGTTTGTAAAGGCATCTGTCTTCCTTTCAACAAACAGCATTTGGAAAGTCTTTTAGAAATGTTCTGTTCTGCTACATTCATAAGCAGAGAACATGATTATTACAGGAAACTATTCTAGAAGAAGGAGAAAATTTTCATTCACAACCTGCCATAAAAGTTATAGGTATATCTGGCCATCAAATAAGTCCAGGAGGAGCTTGCTGTGAAAAGCCACCACAGCACTTTCCTGACTCACACTTACTTTTCAATAAGACACAAACAGTATAAGTGATTTTAAGAATATTTTATGGTCTTTCCCAGGAACTCAACTCTGTTATAGAGTCATAGAATAAACAAAATTACTTTAGCATCTCTGAAAGATCACCACATTTTGTATCAGACTTACTGAAGTGAGCAAATCTCAGCTTTAAATTGAGAAGAATCATCAGAAGTCTGGGCAAGTTTACTGGACTTCAATTTTAATTCATTTTCCAAATAGTTTGTTCTTTCTTTCAGAATGGAGACTGTAGACTTTAGTTCACACCTTTCCATCTCAAGCTGCAATTTAAAATAAATAACCAAATGTTATTTTTGCAGAAAGTTATCACAGCTTGGCTTTTAAATAAATTTAAGTTGAAAACAGTTAATAAAATTAATTGCTGGAACAGTCTATCCTATTTTAGAAATAATAAAAGCTTACTTCCTAAAAACACACTTACTCCTTGAATGTTATTCTCCAGTTCTGAAATATCATGCTGCATCTTTGATTTTTCAAGGTTTGCTGCTTCTTGCTGAATCTGAGATAGAAATACAGAATTACATGTAACAAGGTAGACATTTTTAGATTTAATCATAGAAATTTAAGCTTCATGTTTAAGAAAACATTGCTTTACATTCTTTGATGAATGACCAAATGCAAAGCTCTCTCTGTAAAACTACAGAACATTAGCTGAAAATACACCACTGCAGTTTAATATAACATCACTGAGTTTGGTTTTGGTTGTTGGTTTAGATTTTTTTTAAATAGTATATTTATATTTGGATCCAACTAAATTAATATTTGTGATTTGCTGTAGACTTTATTGAGCTACAGGGTGCATGCATGTATAGCTTAATGCCCTAAGATGTTTTAACTTATTAAATTATCATTAATTACAAAATATAACACAGATTATAAAACTAACAATATATTGCCTTATATGCATCAAATATATTGTTGTTTCTCTCTTGTGAGTCAAGTGCATGATTTCTTCCACAACAGTGACACACAAGCATCTTCAAAGTAGTGTATACCCACAAAAATATTCTGTGGTTGGCACTTCATATCTAGATTTTTCACACAAGGTGATGTCATGCTTGCCCTCAAATACTTTAAGCCCGTTCCTCTCCTCCTTTTCCCAACAAGGAACTATGTTTACAAGGGAAATTTGATACAATTCATTGAGCTCTCTCAAGCGAGTGTGAAATCAAAAGTTATTGAAAAGGGGAACTGACAGACAGTCAAATACAAACACAGCACTATTGTATAATCCTTCCTTATATGCCACCTCATTGTAAGCAGTGAAGCTATAAAAGCTCACCTTTAATTTTTCTCTGAGGCTTTCTTTTTCTGCCATTAGTCTTCTGAAGTCAGTCAGTGCAATGTCTCTTTCTTCTTCCACGTGACTTTGAGAAACTAAACTATGCTTTGCTTCTCTTCTCATCCTGTTCAACTCACTTTGAGACTTAAAAAGATTATTGTTTGTTAGCATCCATGGACTGCAATATAGTGTACACACTAACAAAAGAAACTTTCAATGCTGTTATTACAACAGAAGTTCTATTATAGTCTTATTTTTCTCTAGATAACTAAAATGTATTCCCTAAATCACTCAGTGGAGTGACAATTTATGCTGACTACATAACCATCATTCTTCTACTGTTCCAAGCATAGACTAACTTCACTCTGTTCTCTTATCTTTACACAACTTTCTTATGCATTCTATTGACTTTTTCCTTATCTCTCTGATTTCAGAATGCCAGTACAATAACTTATTATGCCATTATAATGGTTTTCAAGTTAATAAACTAAGTGGAATACATAATTTTATTAACAAATAATAAAAACGGGTATATATTTTATTAGCTTTTGTTGCATTCTGGTAGGTCTATACTCAAGTTCTATTATAAAGGTTTTTCATTCTAAACAAGCCATAGTACAACAAAAGCTAATTGGTTATTTCACTGTAAATTACAAACAATCTCTTCTTACCTGCTCATAAAGAACATTTAATCTATTTCTTTCTGCAGTCAATAATCTGACATTGGACTGAATTTCTATCATGTGTTTTTCAAATCTGTCTAACATAGACCGTAGCTCATCTCTTTCTCTGGTGATCAATTTAAGCTCTTCGCCCTGCAAAGTGACCAATAAATTTATGTTAAAATAAGCTAATTAAAATATATGGATAATTAATACCAAAAGGAACTCATGCTAATAGTAATACATAAAAAATACATACAAAATAAATTTTCATTGCAAGAAAAAGCCTGGCATTGGTGGTATCATTTAAACAATAAGAACTAACTGTTAAGAAGAAAAAGCAAAGCAGTGAACAGTAAGACTTTAACCTCTTTCTGGTTATTATCTAATTCTATTTATTTCAAACAAAATGATCAATAATTAATCAATACGTTGCTGTAAAATGTGACTAGGAAAATAAAATGCAAGTTCATTGGAGTTTCTCTCAGTTGGTTTTTTGCATTAAGAAGGTAATTTAGAAAATTACTACAGTCATTTCCCATCACTGAATTTGAAAATATATTTGATGGCTTCTTAAATGTTTCTACAGTATTTCCATTATTTTTTCAGCTTGTCCAGACAGCAGGAACTTTACCTTCTCTGGAGTCCTGCGGCTTGGGCTAGGCCTTCGTCTTATCATTTTCTGAAGATATTCTAATTCTCGCTTATAATAATCTCTGTCATCTTCTAAAGTCTTCACAAATGCATCTAGACGAGATGGAGATTTGTCTCCTAGGGCTATACCATATTCTACTCTCATTCTTTCTATTTCTAGGACAAGTTCTCGTTCTGCAAAAGAAACAAAACAAAAAAACAAGTGTATAGGACAGTCATTAATTTCCTCAAAGACACTTGCATTTGGGATGGACTAACTCCCAGCAACTGTTGAAGCAATCCTGCCGAAAAAGATGTAGGAGTACTACATCTACTGGTTAATATTAGATTAAACATGAGTGAGTAGCATAAGACCAATAGAGGCCTCACAGCACCTTGGGCTGTATCAACAGAGACAGACTGAGGGATGTGACTATTCCCCTTTAATTAGCACTCATTAGACTGCACTTAAAATACCGTGTTCGGGTTTGTCCCTCTTAGTACAAGACAGATGTTGATAAACTTAAGTCCAAGGGAAGCCCTCCAAGCTGGTCAGGGAGCAGAACACTTGCCCTGCAGGGAACAGCTGAGGGAACTGAGCTTGTTCAGCTTGGAGATGAGCTGGAGACCTAAGAGCAGACTGACAGTACCAAGAGGGAATTATACACAACATAGAGCCAGTTTCTTCACAGAGGTGCATAGTAAGTAAACAAGAAACAATGAAGATTAATTGCTACAAGCAATTACAAACAATACAGGGAAAAATATTTTACTCTGAGAATAGACAAACACTGGAATGAGTTGCTTAGAGATGATGTAGAATCTCCACACCTGGAGGTTTTCAAGATCCAACTGGATAAAGCTCTCAAGAAACACAGTCTGAATCCACTCACTCAATGACAGAGTATAAAAACAATTTTGAAAATGACATGTATGAAACTGCCATAGAATTAATATAATGTGGGATCACAGTAAAAAGCTCAACTTTCAGTTCTCACATAGAGAATGAAAATATCTCTCCATGACAAAAGTTTTCACTTCAGTTATGACTGAAGACCTACAGCTTTCTTTTAATTTACATATATCAAAAGTCTTTCAGTATTATTAACTGTATCTTAACTAGGAAAGTATTCTATTTCAAAATTTACAGGATAATAATTTGCAAGAATTTACATTTGATGATTTACCTTTTATTTCTAAGTTCTCTGTTTTTTCTGTCAGCCTTTGCTTCTCTTGTTGAAGCTGATTTAACACCACCTCAAGATTGTCTTTATCACCTGTTTTTCCAAAGAGTTCTTCATTCAGTCTCTCGTTCTCCCTACGACATGAGCACAACTCCTGAAGTGACAAGTATTATTATAAAAATTAGAAGTGCCAATAAAGACATTTGAAAAAAAAAATTAAACAATTTGTTGAACTTTTAATATACAACACTGTTTACTTCTGTTTAACTTGGATATTTTATGCTTTAACATTTGTTACAGATCATTGTTTTTATACTGGTTTTTACTACATCAAAGTAAACATTACTTTTGACACAGTTTGCAATAAGCAACAAAACAAGGAAGATTAACACTTGTTTAATTCAAGAAACCAACCAGTAGGATAGTGGGATACAAACATGCGAAAAAAAAGTAATGACTAAAGCAATAAATAATTTTTAATGGCACTTGGTAACACTGTTGATATTAAAGTACATTACAATACAGCATCTCAGTCAATCCAACCCTGCAGCTAATCAAATGCTATTTGGTACGTCTTTCCTACAATCTGATGCCCTGAAAACTAAGTATTTTTGTATTTGCAAGTTCACTAGATACACTAAAACACTGTACTCAGCTAATACAGAACTTGGTATATGCTATATGGAAAGAGTTTGGTCTTCAAAGAGTTGATAATTCCAATGTTTTTTATCTGGGCTATGTTTTGCTTCTGAGTTGCTTCCATAATTATTCACAGGTTGAGGTTTCTTTCAGTTTATTTTTCCAACAATATGATGTAGCGTCTTTAGCTTTTTCATTTATTAATTAGTAATTTTTTACAAAATAGTTTTGGGCTACTACAAATGTTCTCTTGCTGATTGTTAAATTGATATTTTTTATAATAAATGACTCACATGGATGACACTGTGATAAAAATGCTACAAACAAGAACTGAAAATATTTTTACTTACTGATTTAAGCTTTGTTATTGTTTCTTGAAGATCCTGTATTTCACTGTGTTTTCTTTCAATTTCTTTCTATCAACCAAAATTAACCTATATGTTAAGAGTTACATATTCAAAATGACAACAATTCCTTTGTTACAAAAAAAAAAAGAAAGAAGATGACTTTGGTAAGAAATAAAGTATAATTAGTTCTCTGTAATAAAGTAGTGAAGTTCCTATGAACTGAAAGCACAAAAAATTTGTGGTATAAACACCAATGCTCTTTTGGAGCACAACGATTAAATGAATCGCTGCATGACGACTCATAAAGAAAAACCCCTCCAAACATACACATTGCTGTTGCAAATATGTATTACCTATCAATACTTTTAAGTATCTCAGGATTTTATTTCATACTAAGCTATTAGAAGAAAGACAGACTGTCACTCAACTAAACTCATCTCACCTAGTACAGTAAAGAGACAAAAGAGTTGTAGTTAATCATCCTTTAGTGAGAAATTCTGTATAATATTAAGTAAACTGGGAAAAAATATCTTTTACTCTTCCTTTCACATGCCAATAGGTCATTCCTTGCAAGTAGAAGACATAAAGCTAAATAAAGTTGAGCAGATCCTTCACTCTGTGACACGTTAGTGGTTACCTTTGCTTCTCCTATTTCCTTATCTGCAGTCTCGAGCACAATTTCCTTGTGTCTTTCCAACTGCTGTGCCAAGTGATCTATTTCATTCAGTTCTTGGCACAGTTCTTCATTTTTATTGCTTAAATGCACTACCTCACTAGTCACATTTTGTTTCGTGTCCAAGAGGTCTTGAATGCGATTTTCAAGTTCTTTGTTTCTTTGCTGAAGATACTCAACCTGAAAGACATTTTTCATTAAAATATTAATATGCATTGTTAAACTAGGTAGCAAAAGTTCATCCCAATCTTCTGAAATATAGTATCTCTATAACCACGATAAAAAAGTGATATCCTGCTAAAAATGGCAGTATTTTCTATTTTTAAAACTTAATGTTTATCAACATGAAAAAAAAATTATTTTACGAAGGTGCAAGGTGAAGGAATGTATCACTACATCTTTCTTTATCTAATTTCCTGAACCTGAGGTTTACTCTAAAAGCAAAATATTGAAGAGCAGAGATCTGTATAGAAACCATTCTTGGGCATCAGGATGGTAGACCCAGTGTAATCAGTTGTCTAAACTTTACAAGATACGACAACACATTCTTCTCTCCACATCTGTGGTATTATTTGATAGGTTTAGTCTCACTGTTACCCCTTCATCAAAATTAAGCCTTATAGATCAGATTTCTAAAACCTATCTTGCCCCTAACGTATTTCAGCACCTTAAACACAGCCTCAGAAATTCTGCTCTACAGACATTGTTTTTCCCAGTATATCATTCCCTGAGAGTAAAGTGAAGAGGGGCAGGGATGTAGAGTAGAAATAACAAATATACATTGTAAGTTACACTACCCAGGAAATGGGAGCCTTGAGTGTCTTTAAAGATTCAAGATAACAGAGATTCTCCACTTCTACCTCCACACAACCTTCCTCAAAACTCCAGAATTACTGTAGACACAGAAGAAAATCTCACAGTCTTGAATACTGCTATATGAAGATATTCATACATTTTTTGTCAGAGAATAAAAGTGTTATATTGGGACTGAGCCTGAGCGAATAGTCTTGATGGTCCAAAACCAGCCTCATGCAGCTCTGGGCTCACTCTGTGTACAATCAATTTGTGTTCATCATGACTTACTAATTCAGGATCACTGAACACAGCTGTACTGCTTCCAAGTCACAGCTCATTCTGTATTTTTGCAGCACTGAACGTGAGATAATAAATTCTCCAACGTGGCTCCCACACCACTGTACATCATGCACAATCAGTATACAAAACATCTAACTCAGCTGGAAAAAGCAGAGAATTGATGGTATAAATCCAGAGATGGGCTTTACTTGATTTGTACCCCAGCTCATCTTCTATTTTTTCAATTCTCATTCCGAGACCGATATTGAATGCATGATAATATGCACAGTAAGCACAAACATCTTTAGCCTAAGCTTATCATTTCCTTACAAGTCTTTGCTGGAATAAAGGTGAGGACCATTTGAGTTCAGTGAGGAAGATTTCCCACTCTCTGATGAGAATATCTACAGGACTACTCCTTATCATAAGCACATATACCATTGTTAGTTCCTAAAATATAAATGGCATGTACATTAATAAATAAATACAAATATTTCCAAATTCGGTGAAACAGGGTATCATACAGAAATTTGCTCAATACTTTCAGATTAACATACAAAGTACACATGTGAGTTAATAGAATTCTTTACCAAAACCTTTCTGACAGACTTTTAAGTCAAGAAATGAAATTTTCTTAGACAAGAAACACTGTCACCTAAAAAGAAAGGCAAATTAAATTAATTGACTTAACATCTACAGTGATTTTATTTGAAGAGCTAGAAGTTTTGTGGGTTTGTTTAAATTGTTAATATTTTTAGTTTTGACTAAACAAGTGTAATAAATCCATTACCTGCAAATTTAAGTGGGCAATAAGCTTCTCATTACTTTTAGTTCTTGATTCCAGAGAGAGAACCTCATGAGAACGCCCACCATCCAGTGCCAGCAAAAGGCGCTCAATTTCTTTGTCTCTTAGCTCAACCTTTGAGGAGGAAAAAAATATTCTAGGCTATCTTATATACCACTTAATAGACCCTTTGTTTAAATAAACACATATGTAACATTCAGTAAAAAGATATGCACCTAAAAATGTGATTTCTATCTTATATATAGACATATATATTTTAATTCTGGATTTTTCTGAAAAAAAGTGATTGCTTTGAAAGAAAAACAAATTAATCGAACAGAATTAGTAAGGAAAAGCTGAAACGATTTCCACTAGATTATTTTCTTGAAGAAATCCAAACAATTTCCATTTAAAGTGAAGTAAATGAATGTTGCAATATAAATGTCTGAGACTAGCCCTTATTTAGGGAAAAATCTTTTAAATAAGCTAACTTAGTGACTATTCCAGTCACCGAAAAAAAGAAATACTAGAATGGGAAAACCAAGATGTGAAGGAAAAAAAAAGGGGATGGTGTCCACAAATCCCCAGATATTGAAAGACATAACATATGTACATTTTATGCAATTCCATCACTTTAAGACTGTACACATCTTATCAATTCACTCTAATTAAAATATTGTAAAATCTGCTGTTCATAAATTAACTATTAAAAATTTTAAAAATATATTCAGTTCAAGCAGTGAAAAAAATCATTCGAAGATATCTGTAGGTCAAATTACTATTTTGGAGAAGTTAACACTTATGCACTAAAAAAACATACAAAACTTCTATCTATGATTGTCAAGTTTAGCTTATTTAATGTAATTTTAATACACAAAATATATCAGCAAAACCACTGGGCAAGTATTTTATCATTGCTGCTGTCTTCAAAAGCGGAGGAGAGAAACAGCTCAACATCGGCAAGTTAGAATAATTGTATTTTACAAGCCCCACAGTGCCTTCCCAACAAGGTTTTTAAAACATGAAGGCCATTGCCATGCCTTCTACAGCCAGATAATAGTACTGATACTAACATCAACAACAAAAATAATGATGATGTAAACATACTTGTTTGCTATAATTTTTCATTCCACATTCAGATATCTCCAGTTTTTCTTGTAGCTCTGTTACTTCTGACTGAAGTTCATGAATTCTGAAACGTAGCAATATATTGTTTATGTGAATTCATAGAAGAATTGTATGTACACAATTCAATATAAGAATTTTCTCTTTGCTCCTGAACTCAAACATTTCACAAAGAAATAGTTTTGTTCATACAAAATACTAATGCAAGGTCTGTTGTTTGAGATATTGTAGCAGTGTGACCTTGTCTGGCTGCCAGACCCCAACTCAACTCTCTCACTTCCATTCCTCAACAGGACAGGAGAGAAAAGATGAAAAAGCTCATGGGTCAAGATAAAGACAGGGACATAATCTACCGGTTCATGTCCTGAGCAACACAGACTCAACTTGGGGAAGACTGATTTATCATCAATTAAAAAGAGCAAGACAGTGAGAATCAAAGGTACACCTATACTTCAAAATGAAAAAGTTCTTTACCGATTATCAGCCACTTGAAGAAGGTCTGCAATATAAGGGTCCTCTGGCTGAGGAACTGGGTAGGCACTAACGCCTGATGGGGGGACAAGCTGGTCTATCTGCATGCGCTGACGCCTGAAGGGAATGCTTCTTTTTCTGCCTCCTGAAAGCCCAGACCCAAAGGCTTATTACTTGGAGTTAAAGCATGAGAATCATCTTCTTTAATACAAATTTATTCTTCCTATTTATTGTACTGCTTCTGAACACGCACATTTCACCATTTTAATCTTTCTGTAATAATTTGATAAAATTTATACATTTTAGACAACACCATTCTTGCAGGTTTATATCAGTTTTAAACTTTACCTTTATAATTAGGAAACACACAAAGTTCAGTATAAGTAATTTTCCCCACTGTTCAAGACCCTAAATAATTTACAGTTCAAACTTGTTGAATCTGTTAGTGATTTAGCTTATGAAGAAAGCTAAAACATCATAAAAGATGTTTTTTCCTCCCACATTTAAGAACTATTTCATGACTGAACTGACCTCTGCATTGCTTGGTAATGTTTTTATTCTTTCTATTCTACTGTCATTTCAGTGAATATCATAAGCATATCGAGCAGACTTTGTTCTTTGATTGCATGGTAACATTATATTTTAAAAAAAGCAAAACATAGTATCATTTCCAGATGAAACAATTACTCTTCAACAAATTATTAAATAAGAACATACAGATGATGTAGTAAAGAAAAATCCCAGAGGACTGGTGACCAAGGAGCAAGTATGCAGGAAGACAAAGGTGTAACATGTCATCTTTGAAACAGAGGACATGAAGTGCAGAAAGGTGAGGAAAAATTAAAATTTCTCTTTATTTTACCTAATAATCTATTAACTTTTATCAGATGCCAAAACTACATAGATAATTCAGTGACTTAGAAAGAAAAGACAATTTAAAATTTCACAAAATAATTCTATTTCACTCAGCTTGAAAAAATTTAAAAAAAAGGAAACCCTACAAAGAAATTAAGCTGAAAGTAACAGCCAGAACATTTTAAGCTAACAAAAGACCCTTTAAATACTTTAAAAGCTTTCAGAGGGTTGGAATATTTGTAGATGTATTTTGCATCTTGGTATTTTTAGATTTTTGCTACAAAAATCTCAATTAGTCACTTTCACAACATCAATTACCTGTCAAAAATAGTCAAGTGTCAACAACCTGCCCCTGACTAAATTAGGTGCAGCACTAAAAAAAAAAAGCTGTTAATTAATAGTGCTTTCCAGTCACGTTTTAACTTCATAGTCCTCTAGTGAATCTAAGTCTGCATTCAAATTTGTCCCTAACACAAGTGATGACCTAATGAAACTTCATACAGAGAAATGACTGAATTCAGAGCCAAACATTTTAACAGATAATGTTGTTCTACCAGATATTTTACTGCAATAACTTCTCTTACTAGAGGAAGAAAATATTATGTTCTGCAGATCCAAAAAAGCCCAGAGAAATGTTAAAATATCTGTGATTATTTACACTCACCAGGTGTTTGCACCACTGCTTGCAGATTCTTCTCCTGAAGCTGCTGAATTTTTTCAGTCTTGGCTTTGTTCTCTTTTTCCAACATTTTAATTTTATGTATATATTGGTTATTCAGAAATTTCAAGTCAGAAGTTCCATGTTCAGCCCTCCTTAAGGAGGCTTTCAAGTCTTCAAGGGAGAGAAAAGCAGTATTATCTTTCTTATTCACTATTACTTTTCCTAGTTGCACCAGAACAGGCATAAAGAAAATCCTGTATTCTTTTTCCATAGCATGAAATTGTCAAATACGCATACATATGTGCATATATTTACACACAAAAATATATATTTTTACATGTTTTGCAAATAAACCCTTACTGTGGAATAAAGATACATTTAACAGGAGTATTTAATTTTAAATTAAAAAGTATCAATTCAATGTATGAAAGTATATGTTAAAATTTCTAACATTCTCATGTTTGATTCAAACAATGATTTGCAGGACCTCAGAAGCTTTTTAACTGCAAAAGAAATGTTTGAGCATAAGCCTTAGTTCATTAAAGGCACCAAACTCAATGACCACTCCCACTCATAAGTGCAGATAAATGAATCTGAAGATCAAGGATTTGGCCACAATTCTATTTTGGCATGGAAGAATTAAAAAAAAGTATCATAATTTTTATATTACCTTTAACATGATGATCAGACCGCTCTTTCAGTTTTAATATTTCTAAATGTAATTCATTATTTTCCCTGGTAAGTTTGGCATTTTCTGTTTTATAAGGTTCCAAAATAGTATCATAATTGCTGTATTCTTTTTCAGTTTTTCCAGCAGATAACTTAGCACTGCGCAAGCTCTCAGTTGTATGAACTAAGTCACTGGAATAAAGGAGCATCAGATGTGTTAGCAATGTTATCAGCCTTTATACTGCAGATGCAAATGTTTATTATGACCTGAGAAACAGAACCCTTTCCCCAAGAGGGGGAACAAATGGGTTCGAACAAAGAATAGAATATTCATGTAAGAGAAACTGAAAGACAGGAATCATTTGTTTAAAAAAAAAAAAGTAAATAGGAAAAGGCAGGACAAATACAAAAAATAAAGACAGTTAGAAAGCATATCAGGAGTTTAGATCCAATAATTCAATATACTCTCTTTTCTACATAAAGTGACATTTGGCAAGATGATTTTTTCCCCCAAGCACTTCACAAGTTCTAGCACCACTTACCACAGAAGGTCACTGGTACTTATATGGGGATTAGAAGTACCATAAGAGAGATTAGTGGTACATAAACTATAAACATTTTTGTGAAAATAGTAACAAAGCTAGGCATGGAGAAAGTAAAACTATCTTCTAGACACCAGAATAAGACTTTATGTTGAAGGCAGACTACTCCACACCCGTGTCCCTATGGTTCTTCCATCTGTATTACATGCTAGAGAGCAACAGAACCAGAATAGCTACATTTGCAAGTATAGCCAAATATAACTGGATTAGTGTGGAAATTACTATGATCATAATCACACTGAAGCCATGAAATGGCAGATATATTAAGAATGTCATCTGAAAATTTGTTTTTCTTCTGTTATCTGTCCTGTAAAAAGTGCAGAGATTTCAAATTTAAAGTTCTCTAAATGAGATATTAGTAAACAGAGATGTGAATGTTTGAAGTCACAAATCAGATAACAGACTATTTTTTATACAACCAGTTATAAGAGCGTGTCCTTTAAGCACATATCAGCAGTGACTATTTTTTGCTCTCTTATGAGGTTAGAAAAGTTGAATTTTCCTAGACCATAGAAATTGGATTAAATTAAATCTTAAGATGTTCTCATCACTTAAGCAAACACATTTGACTTCATCATACACAGGAACTTAATGTTAACTCTGAAATAACACTGACAGAAAGTGATCTTCAGATTAAGCATTCTTCCTTATATGTCAAAAGTCAACAATACCTACTACGTGATTACTATTTTTTTAATTAATTTCCTTTTGAATACCTAAAAAGCTTTTCCACCAAGGGCAAACTCTCCACTCCCAATGGTTGCCGATAGCCCAGCTGATCTAGACGTTTCCTGAGATTAGTGAACCTTCGCTCTGCATTTGTACTCATTGTAAACACCTCCAAAGCAGTAGCTTTTGTCACAGTCAAGAAAAATGGGACACCTGAAAAAGACTGTTGGTTACAGCATTAGTCCTTTAAAAAAGGAATAATACAGAAAAAAAATTATGGAAAAAAGAATTTTTTTGCGTAGAAAATACAGTGCCTAAGCACGTCCTTAAAACTTAAGTAAACCAAATGAGGATCATGGAGCAACTAAAAGGTTTTAAACATATTTACATATTTCTTTAAAAAGAAATATTTGCCTTGGCAGTTAGTTTTCTTGTTTGATTCTGACTCTTTTGAATCATTTTCGTCATTGTATCTTCCACAATGCAAACTGATAGATAATTCTCCAAAAACCTATGTATTTTTTTCTTTCATATATAAATCTTACTTTCAGAGTTTACCAGTCAGTACTTAACTTATGCCAACCATTTGTAAAATTGCATAAAATGTGTACAATGTTAAAGACAGATTAACTTTGAACATTTATTTTCTATGATGAAAAACAGGGAAGAAAAGAAACCACTGGTGTAGTTCTACCTGCATCATTTTCTAGAATATACAGTTCAAGGATCAGAGGGTTGGTTTTTTCCAATTGACTAATTAGTTATCTTTTCATTATTAAACTGATCTGAAAGGGATTGGAGCAGCACTACTATATCTGAATCCAGATGACAATCTTGGTTTTGCCATGTACATGTGAGGGAAGAAGAACTTTTAAATGGTTAGGTCCCTCTGGATTTAGACACGAGATGAGAAAAAAAAATCAAATACTAAAGTTGATGTTTCTTAATATGTTGTAGGGACTAAAAAACTATATGCAGAAGATTTACTCGAGGATAAAAGAATTTTCACTCAAGGATGTTTTTGCTACTGGGAGAGGCCCAGCATGGGAGAAGCTTCTTTCCCATGAATAGCACTGTATATTTCTCTCTGCCTGTCTGTTTGAAAAGTAGGATTCCTGTGTAGAGATAACACAGGATTTTTGACTTCAGAATAAACTTTTCCTTAATACCATAGCTATGGCTTAGTACCTGGGGTTACCTGTGTGCATATTAACTCTTACATACATGAAAACTTCTCTTCAATAGTTAGAAATATCTTTGAAAAATAGTTACTTTTGTAAAACATTTTCCCTCTCACTTCTTCAGAAGTTTCAGTATTAACCTACTGGCTGCAAAGACCTCAGCAGACAAACTACCAATCTGAGGAAGTGTTGTTTGCATCTCATATAAAAGGGACAGAATATAGATATCATCCAAACCATGCTCTTTCACAATCACCTAGATTTAAAAAAATATATTAAAAAATATATGCAAATAAAATTATTTATTTATAATAAAATGAGAAAACATACAAGTTTCTCTAATGTCGAAGGCTGGAAAAATTTAATCTCATTGTATTAAAACACTACAACTCTAGCAACAAGTCTGTGGTTGCCAGGTACTGCTCCATGATGAGAAAAAAATCACCAGTCTTATAACCACAGCATCTGCTCCAGGTGCTACCAAAAGTATTTGCTCGAAGAGGTTCAGGATGTTGAGATATTAACTAAGCAATGGCAGGAAGAACAAACCCTTACATACCGTAGTGGGATGGCTGGAGGAGGCAGCGCCACACTTCTGTCCACGAAACGGTAACTGTCAGTGCACTAAGTGGAAATTAATGTCCTGATGTGCAGCTAATGCTCTTTGTACTCCTCTGGAAGCCAAAGATTAAAGCTAAAAGCAACAAGATCTTCGTATTTCTGCATTAATGTTGAGGATTCTGTACTGAATTCAGGAAAACAGTGATTGTTACTGTGTCTAGATTTAGGCTCAGGAATGCATCTTACACTAATGCAAGAGTAAACAGATAACTCCTAAGCCAATCTTCTCCTTAAGAAGAACTGTATCAGTTAAAAAGATTAAATTACTTTAAAATTGTTAATCAGATTTCATTTAAAAGCTCGTGCTTTAGAAAGAGCAAAGTTTTTTTTACTAATCACATCGAGACAGTTTTACAAAAGAAACATCAAGAAGAAAACTGCATCACAGCTTGTACAGGAATAAAATCTTTCTGCAGTAACTGCGGAGAAAAATAAATGGACAGATGTTAGCACTCCAGAAACTGTGGCTAGGAAGTACATACAGAATCTTGCTAAATCACTGCAATGGGCACTTAAGGTGATGTTACCTAAACATACTCTAATACTGGGAGGTACCAACAGCTTTCTGGTGGAATCCCTCTCCTTCCTAAAGACCGAAATTTTTAATTCAACTCATTATTGCCACCGGAATCAAACAGGAAAGGGTATTATCTTACATTCCCTAGAGTCACATCTGACCCCCAATAAGCCCAGGAAATTAATAGATGGAGTATAGGTCCCAAAGGTGTCCAGGAATGAAAATAAGAAGAATTGGGGGGTGTTATTTCAGAGAGCTTAACGCAGATATTAAAGTCTTCAAAGACAATAATTGTTGTACACGCTTTGTTGGAAAGAAATCATGTGTCAGTAATTCCAGACCTCTGTCATTACAGACCATAACTTAAATCTCACATCCTAAACTTAGTCTATCACTAGTCTTACTATGACATCAAAAAGTATCTAGTAACTTCTCCATCAGGAAAATTTGTTTTCCTGGAAATATAAAATTAATATGTGAACTGCTGTACTGATTCAGTTGGATCCAAGACCTGTCTGACCCAATATCCCATATCTCTGACAGTTGCCACAGCAGGAGTATAAAAACCTCAGAAACATGAGTTAAATCTTACGCCTACACACATTCTCTTTCTCTAAGCCTATAATGCAGGGATTTGATGGGCCTAAAGTTGAACTGAAATCATTATAATAGTACCTGATAGACCTTCCTCTGAGCAGCCATAAAGATTCTTTGCTGTAGCCTTCATCTAAAGCATCAATTAGATGCATTCACAGTGATACATCTCCCTGAGCAGCTACTGACACTTAGAGACTGTTTAACTCATTCTTTAATTTTACTGATCAGCACTTGTCATGGCTTAACCCCAGATGGCAATTAAGTTCCACACAGTTGCTTGCTTACTCCCCCTTCTCGCACAGGGATGGGGAGGAGAATCAGGGAGAAAAAAATAAAATTTAGGGACTGTGATAGGAACTGTTTAACAATCCAAACTAAGTAAAATAATAATACTAGTAGTACCACTTATAATAATAATTGATATAAAAAGGAGAGGGAGAGAGATTGATAAAACCCAAGAGATGCACAATACCATTGCTCACCACCTGATGACCGATGCCCAGCCCGTCCCTGAGCCGCGATCAGTCCCGCTTCCAAGTAACCCCCTCCATTTATATACTGGGCATGATGTTGTATGGTGTGGAATATCCCTTTGGCCAGCTCAGATCAGCTGTCCCAGCTATGCTCCCTTGCAGCTTTTTGTGCACCTCCTCACTGGCACTAAGAAGACCTTTGCTTAGAGTAAGCACTACTTAGCAACAACCAAAACATCAGTGTGCTATCAACATTATTCTCATACTGAATCCAAAACACAACACTACTAGAAAGAAAATTAACTCTATCACAGCTGAAACCAGGACATTTGGTCTTTCTGATTGCTCTTAGTATTGATTAGATGCATTCACAGTGATACTAACATTTCTCTGAGTGGTTACTGATACATTAAAGACCATGATGTGCATCACTTTGCCTTCATTAATGTTGTTCCTTACCTGCCGCTTTATTACTCAGGCCACCAAAACTCTTCTGCACCCCTTGGACTGCACTTAACACATCCATATAACGAGCAAATTTTGTCCCTTTCTGTTTAACCCATTCTTTCACATCAGTAGTCAGTGTTAAACAGCAATCTCCTGTATGTTCACTGTAAGGTAGTACTTTCTACACTTTTTTTTAACCACTAGGTTTTTTTCTCCATTTTGAAAGAGACCTGCTTTCTTAAAAGCCTTTGGTAAAGAACTGTCTCCAAAAGGTTTATTGGAAATCCACGCTTTCTACATAATTCTCACCGAGTCAACTCAATCCAGAATATGCTGTTACATAAAGAAACTTAATATCCTCGTAACTCACAGTTGAGTCACTATGAAAGGTAAATTGAACTTACTAGATGTTTGTAAACTTGCAAAGTACTGGAAAGCACTCTTAACAACTTTGGTATTTCCCATGATCTGTATAACTAGTTTGCATCACTCATTGTCTAAATATTTCATGTAATTTACTGCTGTTGTGAAGAAAATGTAATTTCCATTTTAGATGAAAAGCAGAAAAGGGTAAATTAAATGGTAGTTTAAATTAGGCATTTCCAGCCAGGATTTATTAATATGTCTAAATGAGTGCATCTTTCAGTTGTTCACTGAAGAGATGAGCCAATAGCCTCATTTTCTGTTCCCCCTTTGCTCACAAAGACTGCTAAAGGTGACAGCATTCCCATGCTTCATTTTATGACATACCTGGATGATTGTGAGCAGCCTTTGGAAGGCCTACATGTTGATGAAATAGACACAGTTAGCACCTATGAACTGTCCCCTATTGTTCTAAGTCACCAACATCTGAAATTGAACCCTGACATGAAAGATACAGGCAATAACGGAATCTTAAATCCAGCTGTTTTGGGCTTTCAGTACTGAATCAATTTGCATAACATTGTGTGAAAGAAGTAATATTAACAGGTATTAGACTAACCATTACAGGTAGAATGCGAAACAGAAAAGGTTTAGCACATTGAAGCCCTCCTTTCAGCCTGAGAACAGCAAAATTCATGGTGACTACAGGTTAAGAACTGTTGTAGATGCAATATTTGTGTTATCAATAAGAAAATGTAATAATGAAAAAAGCAGAGTAAAGGTGTATTTTGCTGTGGAAGAAATAATACGGTCAGTGAGCTATGTGGAATACTAAACTACATCACTAACAATGGAACACAAAGAAATTACTACGGATAAATTTATATGCTATGAAATCATTTTTTTTTCATTGAGTCTGTAACATGAACACCAAAGACAATTATGAACGAGAGTTTCCATTTTCAGTTTTGGGAAAGACTAAAATGCATTTTTCATTCAATAGAACTTCTATGTTAAAGGCTTTTTCTTTTTTTTTGCATTTACGTTAAATAGGTTTATAATGTGCTCCTGTCCTGTAATTACTGGTCACGTAGCTCATCCCACTAAAAAAAGCTAGTTCTGCTTTCACCGAGGTGCAAAAGGAACCCAGTGGACCAACCATTTGAATACAACAATGCTTTAACAGGTGGCTCTAGATAGTCCACGGACGCTGAGGGCTGTGCTGAGACAAGCTGCTGCTGCAACATCTGTTCAAGATACATTGAATGAGCCAGAGCTTGTTTTAGGAAAGTCTACTTCCAAGTGGATTTGCTGGTAATTCATTTCTGACTAGATATCCATACAGCACGTCTGCTGTGAAGTGCCAGTACTTAGCCAATGGAAAGACAACTCTTGCTCTAGAAAAACAGATTTTTTTCCCTAGAGATTCACAGAATCACAGAATATTTAGGGCTGGAAGGGACCTCTGAAGATCATCTGGTCCAGCCCCTCTGCCAAGGCAGGGTCACCTAGAGCAGGTGACACAGGAACGCGTCCCGGTGGGTTCGGAATGTCTCCAGACAGGGAGACTCCATGACCTCCCTGGGCAGCCTGTCACCAAACCCCGTAAGCTCACACTACAGCAGACGAAAAACCTATCGATTAGGTGCCTGCTCATCACCTGTCTCCTCAAACTGGAAGCTTTGCAGACCTTCCAGTAACCCCAACCTGTACCTACAAAGGCGCGGTCAGTCCCCTTTTAAACAGGTTTACGCTACCTTTCCCGCCCTCCCTCCGGGCCGGCCGAACCACACTTACCCCGAAACCAGGTACTCCCAGCGGGAGCCGCTGCCGAGAGGCCGCGATGTCTCGGCGTTTGAAAACCTTTGAAAATGGCGCGCGGAGCAGCGGCCGCTTCCGCCCCGTCCCCTCAGCAACGGTGGCGACGCGCCTGCCCTGCCAGCCGCCCGCCCCTTCCCTGCCCGCTCCTTCCCTTCCCTTCCCTTCCCTGCCCGCCCCTTCCCTTCCCTGCCCGCCCAGCAGCCCTCGCGCGGGGGGTGGGACGTTTCCTGCTTTCCTTGCGCCCGGAGACATCGGGGGGCGGCGTTGGGAGAGGGGGGCGCTGCAGATCTCGCAGCTCTTCGGTAAAACCCTGACTCGAGGGACCGGCCCGTGCCGACAGCCCGGCTCCGGGAGCCTACGAGACAGATGGAGAGGGACTTTTAATATGGGCAAGTAGTGCTAGGGCACACGGTAGTGGCTTCAAACTGTAAGTGGGTAGGTTAGATTAGATATTAGGAAGAAGTTCTTTACTGAGAGAGCGGTGAGACACTGGAACAGGTTGCCTAGAAAAGTGGATGCCCTATCCCTGGAAGTGTTCCAAGTCCGGGTTGGATAGAACTCTGACCATCTTGGTCTGGTGAAAGGTGTTCCTGCCTATGACAGGGGGTTGGAACTAGGTGATCTTAAGGTCCTTTACAAACGAAACCATTCTATGAAATCCAAATGCCTCAGTGTTCCTGAGTTGTCACGTAGCATGTTTGTTACAAAACTCAGAAGAAAAAACTTTCTCATTCATACTCATTCGTGCATATTCTTGCATCTGCATCTCAAAATCATCTTACCTCTGTCTGCGTGTTTTCTTTTATTGTACCTGTTTCTATTCTGTATACACCCCATCTCTGTCCAACAACTTAGCACTTTCATCAAGATGTACAGAAAACCTATGTCCTGAGTCCCTGGCAGCTGAAGCTCCAGGAGGATGAAGGGCTTACATGAGGTGGGAGTATACTGATGCTAAAAGGAAGAAAAACGACACATGGAGAAATGGAGCAAATCTACTTCAATGGCCAGAGACAAAGCAATGGAATTAACTCTGTCTTCACGTTTTTGAAATAACACTCCAAAGAAATAAAGAATATGATGAACATAGTTTAATTAGGAATAATAGCCGCAGTCACATTACAACTCAGAAAACAAATTCAGTCTTCCACTGCATAAAGTTCCACATCAACACTTCCGAGAACAAGGAAGATATCTGATAGTCTTCAATGCTTACATAATTTCCAAAATATTAGTGAAAACAGTAGTATCCTTTTTGCATACTAAGAAGGTAGTGCTTACTGCTTCTAGCAAGAGGAGGAATTATAAATAAAAGTATCTGAATATTAGGGGAAAGGAAAAACTGTATCCAAAGTGTTTCACAGAATTAATGCTTTCAAACAGTACTTCAGCCCAGTAGAAGAAAAACAAATCCCGTTTCATTTTGCCCTGAAAGACATTTGAAGCAGAGTGTAACTTAACAGATATGGCAGTTAACTACACATACGATTGGAAATCCACCTTTTAAAACAAATAGCATTTATAGTGTTTGAATCCCTTATACACAGGCACCTATTTTGCTAGCTTCTCTTTCCCTTTTGAGAACTTAATGAGACTGTGCAATACTGGAGCAGTAGTCTAAAATATCCTGTATAGTGAATTCCATAGTAATTCCTGATCCAGGATAGCAGCGAGCTATCAGCCCTTCAAAGTGCTTGTACTGTCGTATAAACTCATCTTGCATGGAATGCCACACAACCTGCCAAAGAAAGCAAACTTTAGGAAAAGTCAGCTGGCACAATACGCTACATATGTGAACTACTAAACATTGGCTCATTAATTCATTCTCAGTTCAGGTGTCATTTTCCAGTTAAAGCTTGCTGACAAAGTTCCATAAATGGAGTTGCTGGATTACATAAAAAGATTGATGTTTTTCACCCTTTAAGTTTAAGATCTGTAATGTTTACATGACTCCTACCAAATGTGCAAAGCAGAAAATAGTAAAGATGAGAAAGTTTTCCTAAAAGTATTGCTTTTGTGTTTCAAGAAAACACCCTGAACCAGAACCGTGCTGTAATTCATGTTTCAGATTTTAAACAGCTGTTTAAACAACTCTAACTTGTAAATCTATTTATCATTTACTCCAGTGAGAAATTTGCAGAGTATAACAAAAACATCAGATAATGCAACTATCAGAAAAGATGTAATTGCAAGTCTATCCTGCTGTAGCGCACCAACTAAATTTCGTATCAGGTTAACGGTGCATTTCAATCTAGTTCTCTCTACTTCCAGTATATTTTGCAGAACAGAGAGCACCTCTTAATGGTCAGCTAGGGAATCATAGAGGAATTTTCTTTATGAACTTTACCACCACATTTCAAATCCATGATAAACAGAATTATAAAAATACCCTAAAAACCTCGACTCAAAATTCATGGTTTTTTTCAGAGTTATGCTGAACATTCTCTTAGAATATATATGTTAAAGCAATAATAAAAATCCTCTGTGTAAACATTATAAGGTTTTTAAGTCATGATTATGGTTAGTTTACCTGAAGTAAGTTTTCTTCTTCACAGAGATGTTTATCTACCTTCTTGTAGAGATTATCCAATCCCTTCTTCACTTCCTTACCAGGATATTCCTTTATAACTTTACGAAGCTCCTGTTTATTGAAAGCCAGCTGATAACTTACTTCCTCTTCTCGTATACCTTGTGCCACACGAGCTTCAACGCCTTCAAAAAAATGCTAACAACAAATAACAGTATTAATGACTACTACAAACCTAAACTAATTAACTTAATTTGACAAGGATATATGCAGTTAAGCCTTGATTCTGCTTAATGACTGCTGTGTTACCCCCATTTTTGTTTTTTAATTGGGCATGAAGTAGTGCTAAGCTATAAACAAAACACAGCCCAACAACAGAGTGCTCCAAGTACTAGCATAAAACTGAAATCAATCATTTCTAGAAGGAATCAAGCTTTTCTTTGCAACCTTTAACTAATAATCACCCTCAAAATCCTCAATTAATGACCTCATAGCCTGGGAAAATACTCGATCTTTCAGATAAACTCACTAAGCACCTGAGCATCTCTACTTAAAACATAATTACACAACAGCATAGCTGTTCACAATTGCCCTCACTTCTCACTGCTGTTGACCAGTTGGCTCAACATAATACAAATGGAGAGAAGTATTTCTATAAGCATGCAGGTAGAGCCACAAAAGTGCATTGGGTCTGGCCAGGACAGAGTTAACTGTCTTCATAGCAGCCCATATGGTGCTGGTTTTGGATTTGTGGCTAGAAGGGCTGATAACAATGTTTTGTTATTGCTGAACAGGTCAAACCTGATGAAACCATAGTATATAACTTCATTCTCAACAACAAAAAGTAGGGTTGGAGGAGGGGGCAGGGATGATGTTCGGCTTCAAGGTGGCTCGCTCTCTTTTTTCTCTCTCTCTCTCACACACACACACAAAATGGATGCCTCAAAAAGCAAAGAACAGTGGAAGACATTCAGTAGGCAGAACTGAGTCTGAACCTAACTCACTCACCACTCACTAACACTTCACACATATAGAGCCTTCCTAGAACTTTTCTTATTGTTGAATAATTCAGAAACTACAGTAATTTTCTCTGCAGTTGAGGTAAATAAAATGATCCTAAAGCTCCAGATTACTTTTCCCCTCATTTTTTCCTTCTTCAAAACCGTTTGCTTAAGACACTGATGTTTAGTCAGTACTATTAATTGCCATGAAAAATTTGCTTATTTTCATCCAAGACTGCTACCCTCATGAGTCAAGTACTCTTGCCAGACATGCTGAAGTCCAAAATAATAAAATAAGAGGTTATGATAGATGCAGTGATAAAGAGATCAAATAATGCAAACTAAACATTCAAAACTATTCTGTACCATTTAAATGTATACACGAATATACTTACATTTAATTTTTCAAGAGGCTGTCCAAGTGAATAGATTACATAAGACTGAAGATGATCAGTGTATTTTTGTTTGGCTTCTTTTTTCTCAGCCTCCAGACAAGAAATTTTCAAGCGCGAAAGTGTTGCAAAAATATGATGGAAGTTCTCCATCATGACCACATCTCTGGGTGTTTTCTGGCTTTCGTTAGCTACTTTCTCAACTGAAAGAAACAGGAAGCAAAATACTTAAAATACCTAAAGGACAACCAAATTCAAAAAAACATAACCAGTAACTATAATACTGTCAAAAAAGAAGTTTTGGATTTCATGTAATTGATAAACGTTTGTATGAGTAATCGCCAGAACTGTCACTAAATAGAACAGTTATCTGACAGCCTTCATAAGAAGTAACAGATAAATACAGGCTCTAAGATCATGAAATTTGTATGGCAAGTCACAAGATACAAAATAGTGCCTATGTATGGTCTCATTTACAGAAGTGAGAAACAACCCACACTCTGTGGAGGCTTACAAGCAAGCTTTCAGTATCCCTAATAAGTTTTACATGACAGAATTATTTAAGAAAAATCAAAGAAAAATCAATTCCCATCTTCAGTAGGACAAAAATCTTCGATAAAATAGTGGGGCTTTTTTAAATGTACTTCTTAGTCTTTCAATTTTTGCTTATTAGTTTTATGTTCAAAATTACTGTCAGTCCCTAAGTTTAATAATAAAAATAGATAATCCTAG